ATTTGAACCGCTGAACTGTAGATAACAGTCAGCTGAAGTGGCCTGCAGTACTGCACTCTAACCACTGCGCCACCTCGGCTCCTATGTTTTTACCATGTAAAAACATGGTAGGCTTATTTTCTGGATAGGTCTTATTTTTTGGGGGGGGAAACATGGTAGTCCTTGATTTACAACCATGACTGAGCCCCAAATCTATATTGCTAAGTGAGTGAGACATTTGTTAACTGAGTTTTGCCCCACTTTACGACTTTCCTTCCTACAGTTGTTAAGTGAATCTCTGCAGCTATTAATAAGACGATTGTTAAGTGTATCTAACTCCCCACTGACTTTGCTTGTCAGAAGCTTACAAAAGATGATTCTGCGACACTGCAATCATCATAAATTTGAGTCAGTTGACACGGTCTGGGTTTTGATCACATGACCTTTGGGAATGCTGCAACAGTCGTAAGAGTGAAGAAAGGTCATAAGTCACCTTTCTCAGTGCTGTTGTAACTTCAAACTGTCACTAAATGAACTATTGTAAGTCGAGGTCTATCTATATTTGGAAAAACTATTGTTAAAAAGGTTCTTTTCCTGACTACCACTTCCCCTGTCCCCTCTAAATCTTAGAAAATTAATCCTTACTTTTGTTGATGGAAAGTTTGTCTTTCTAATGAAAAAGGAAAAAAAAAATAGAGTGTGTTTTTTCTTGATTGACCACTTTATTTTATTTTGACATAAACACAGCAAAGAACCTGCATAGGTTTTCTCATAATATGCTTGGTATGTGTCTGGTGATATAGGATACTTTGAGCCTCAGGCTGTGTTGTTTTTACATTCCATTAGCCAAATGAATGTTGTGGGAGATTGCACGGACATTTTTTTAAAAATTCAAAATAATGGATCACTTTTAGAAGCGTTCATTCCTTCAAGAGATTTTTGAGAACGGAGTGATGGATTTGCAACACATGGAAGCTTTGTGAAAGGGAATGTTAATCAATTACTTACCCAGATTTTCTGCAGAGCAGTGATTTTCGATCTTGACAGCTTTAATAAAAATGAACTGCAACTCCCAGAATTCCTCAACCAGCATTCTGACTGGGGAATTCTGGGAACTGAAGTCCGCCTGTGTTAAAGCTACCAAAGTTTTCAATATACAAACATTGGTAGAATAAATTGAAAATGTTGATGATGAAATATACAATGTCCTAAGGATTTGTAACGGATCCTATTTTACCTTTGACTGTTATTAAGTAAATACTTATAGATGATCTTGCTTCAGACTTTTTAGTCTGAATTGAATTGTTTTTCCCGGTCCATTCAGAAATATCTNTCTGTAAACCGCTTAGAGAGGGCTGAAAGCCCTATGAAGCGGTATATAAGTCTAACTGCTATTGCTATTGCTATTATTCTTCATTTGTTATACCCCCATTAAAAATTTCCCATCTACAAAGATCCACAAATAGAAGGAAGGAAAAAGAAAAAAAAATGAGCAAAGAAACTACCTTTTGCTTGCAGCCATTATTCTTCCCATTATTATTATTTTTGGTGTATGATGATATGCCAAAAGCAGATCTCATTTGGAATACACCTTTTCAAATATAAACTTCCTTCAAAGTGCACCATTTCACAAAGAGGTATGTCACACATTAACCCTCAAGAAAAAAATGTTCATCATTTCAGATTCAGATGCAGCTTTCAAGAAAAAACAGAAGGATCCTGACAGCCAAGTCAACACCAACAAGGACAAATTCAGCATGCACTCTGCATAGAAAGTACAGGTCACTTTAAATAGGCACACTTAACAAAAAGTTGGAAACAAAAAATTATGAGTTTAATTTTCTTTTATTCAAGGAAAGTGGAGTTGCCAAAGAGGCAAAGAGTGATGTTTTAAGCAGTCCATAATAAGCCTCACTTTTAACCTGGTCTCCTCCATATGTGTTGGACCATTTCCCATACCCCCTAGTCAACATGGCCATTGGTTGGAAACTTTCAGTGGGGAACAGATTTGGTTGAACAAGGAAGCTTTAACTGTCCTAACAGACCACAATTGTAAAGGAGTCTGCATGGGATTCTTCAACATAAAGTGCTGGCCAACATTTGCCAATGAGGTCAGCCTTTCTGAGAACAAGATGTAAAGCCAACTGGTAGGTTGCCAGCACCAGGTTTTTCTTTAAAAAAAATTATTTCCAAACATTAGCAAAAAAAAGTAAAACTGTTTAACCCAGTTCAGAGCAGAAGACTTCCCTGGCTGTGAAATATTTATCCTGTTCAACAAACTACACTAGTATTTGGCCAGACTGGACAAATTTCAGAGGTTGCTAGTGAGCATTCACTCCATAGGACAGAACTCATCCTTTTGAAAGGACTGGCATATGCATATGCATAAATGGGCATAATGGAGTTAAATCCTTCCAGCATACAAAATAATTGTATTAAAAATAATTACCATGACAACCTCACATATTTTAAAGATTAACCAAGCCGGAGCTAAAATATCCATCACAAAGCAGATATTTGAAAACTCAGATCACTTTGGGATACAGAAATACTGTAGAAAATGTCATTTCACTGCCTTTTTGGGGGAGTCTGAATAGTTAGTAAATTAATGCAAAAGTGGGAAAGTAAAATCATTTTATTCATGCACACTTATAGTCTAGTCATTTGGGTTCAAAGAAGAGTGATTGGATATGAGATGGGTGGCAAACAAATTTCATAAAAAATGAAATAAAATTAAAAAAATAAAATTAAAAAATAATTAAAAATGACATAAAAATAACATAACATAAAATAACATAAAAATAAAATAAATTTAAAAAATAAAATAGAAAATAAAATAACAAAATAACATAAAATAAATAAATAAAATAAAATAAAGACATCTGTTCTGTTCATCTGTGGACAAAGTTAGGTTCTGCAGTCCCAGTTTGGAAGTACAGATTCTAGCATTCTGGGGGCCCTCTTCACTTTAGAGCAACTGGCAAGGCATATAGCAACAACATACAACAACATTCCTAATGATGTTTTTCCATCTCATTAGGGACTCCATACAGCTGGACTCTGCATGATACTAGATCTCCAGGTTGAAGAGAAGATCTGCCAACAAAATGCCAGATTAGAGCAGAGTGTGTGCATGTAAAATGTCTTCAGTTTTTTATTTGCCTTTAGTACAGAGTGATTGTTGGGTATAGGTTTGGCATTTGGCATGGACTGGTAAAGTACTTCAATTTGTTCAGGCTAATGGTCAAGCCAAAGAGCATACCAACTTCTAAGTATTTATTCAGCATCAACTGTCTGAGTGTTAGAAGCAAACAATCATATACATTCACATTGGCAGGGTCCACAGAAACACTTGATATGCAAAAATTGTTGACTCATGAACAGTTATTCCCTGACAGCTTCTGCAATAGTAAGTCATAACATTAGCATCAAAGCA